CAGCCCCGCACCAGCCCCTGCTGCACCCCCGTAGTCCCCGGCTCCCAGCCCCCCGCTGCACCCCGTGTGGCGCCTGGCCCCCAGCCCCGCACCAGCCCCTGCTGCACTCCCTGTAGTCCCCAGCTCTGCACCCTGCATATACCAGCCCCTACTTCTCCCCTCCTGGTCCCCAGCTCTGCACCCTGCATATACCAACCCCTGCTGCACCCCGTCCTGGTCCCTAGCCCCGCACACACCAGCCCCTGCTGCACCCTTTGTGGCCCCTGGCCCCCAGCCCCGCACCCTGCCCGTCCCAGCTCCTGTGGCCCCTGGCCCAGCCCGCAGCAGCCCCTGCTTTCTGTGTTGCCAACTCTCATGATTTCTGGTGTTCTTAGTCTATGCTTTGGGAATGTGAAAACCTTAGCTCTTCCTTTTATATATATTTATAGATAAAAGGAAGAGCTAAGGTTTTTCATATTCCCAAAGCATAGACTTTAAGGACAGCCCCAAAAGTCATGAGAGTTGGCAATCCTCCTGGTCCTTGGCTCCCCCATCTTCATGCCCCTGCTGGCAGCCCCTGCTTCATCCCCTCCTGGTCCCCAGTCCCATGTCCCAGCTGTTCACCCCCCCAGCCAGGCTTGCGGAGCCCCAGGGCAGAGACCTAGCAGCCCCTGGCCCAGGGGCACGGAGGGGAGGGGTCCCAATCCAGCCCATCACCAGGGCCGGGCTGGGGGCCCCAGTGAAAAGCAGGTGACTGCAGCTGACCAGGGGTTTGCTGATCTCGGCTGGTGCCAACACAGAGGCCGTTTATTTGCTTGTCCCCCAGACCCGAGTGGGACCCATCATGCCCAGCACTGCACAGGGGCTTCCAGCTCACCAGCCCCCGCTGTGCCGAGGAAATGGAGCTCCCTTGGCAGGGAACAAGGGCACTGCAGCTGAGGCTGGGGGGGAACAGCACACTGACCCTAGCACCTCCTATCACAAGGTGTGCCCTGATGCAGAGGGAGGCCAACCGGCTGAGGACTTTGCACCCATCTTGGGAGAAAAACAAGCTACAGAGCACCGATGCAACTCCCTGTTACAGGAGACGGTGCCGATCTGCTTCTCCCCCAGACCCAAGCTGCCTGCCCTGCAGCTGAGGCTGCCCAACTCATTGCATTTGTGCCCAAGCTTGGCAACGACAACAATACAAGACCAATTGCAAAGCTCTTTAAAGGTGAGGCTGATTTCTGGCTCTCCTCGCCCATTTGGGGCCCTGAAAGAGGCTAGTCCAGCCCAGTGCCAAGTTGATCTTCCCACCTACTCTGCAGGTGGTCCCCGTCTCCCTAAGGACTGCAGGGCCCGGGGCAGGTTGCAGAGGTCCTGGGGCCGTGGGCAGCATTGTTTATTAGCATTCCAGCGCCGGCTCTCCCTCTCGCTCCGCCCTGGTAACGTACCCGAGCAATCGGGAACTCAGCCCAGGCTGGGCTTTCTATTTAGGGCTGTGTTTCTTGAGCCAGCACAGGGCCAGCATGTGCTGCGGAGCTGCCCTTTTGCAGGCACCGGGTGTAGCACGTGGAGCGGGGCAGCCAGAGGCTTTTCCCACGCGTGGCCAGCAGCTGCTAGCCAAGCTCTAGCCATGCTGTCTGCTGCCGGTGGGGCTGGGGGCTGCTGCCACTGCCGTGAGCCAACCTGGGCTGTGCCAAGGAGCAAGTCCATCCTTGCCCCCCTCCCTGCCAGCCCGATGCCCCCCGCCCCTGAGCCGAGCAGGGCAAAGGCTGTACTGTGTCAAAGGACAGCAGGGCACGGGGCAGGACCAGGCGCAGAGCAAGTAAACAGCCCATGAGTCAGCGTGCTGGGCAAGGACTCAAAGGGAAATGGGTTGCAGCTGGTGTGGATTTGTAGCATGTCTGTCGGGCACCGAGTCCCGCTCACCCTAGATCCCCTCCTCACTGCCTGCGTCACAGGTATTTATAGAGCCCCATTGCTGAGCATTTCACTGCTTATCATCCTTGCACCTTGCCCGTATGTGCTGCTCAGAGCACGGAGCAAGCCCATGAGGGCAATAGTAAAGCCCCCTGGCCAAGATCAGACAGGGTAACACCTGTGAAATCAGAAGCAGTGAACAGGGCCTGGTCTCCGGGCACTCTGGTGAGGGGCTGGGCACGGTCGCCACTGCCGCACAAGGACATACCAGCACGCATTGGAGATCACGCTGTCCTCATGTCCTTCCCGTGGTCACAGAGCTGCAGTCTAGCAGTACTAGGCCACATTTCCAAGGGCCTGTTCCCTTTCACTGCAGGGAAAAGTCCCCTGGGACTCGATCTGTGTTTGAATAAAGCCAGGAGGATTTGACCTGTTGTTTCCGATCCAGGCACCCTGAGCAGACTGGCTTCTAGTGCTGCTGTAGGGATCACGGGAGCACCCAGGGGACTCATTCAGGACCCACCCTGCCACCTCCAGGTGTGAGGCCCTCGCACGTGTTGGTGGAAAGTAGGTTAGCACATACAGCCATCAGTGCAGCTCGCCCACGGGGTGAGCAGAGTAAGACCTATCGATGGTTATCACTGTGGTCAAGCCCACATCAGGGCATCCCTGGAAAGCCATGGGTTTTTTTTCAACCAGGAGCTGCTTTTAAAGCTAATTTCCCCTGCCTGCTGCTGAGGTTAATGTATAACGCCACCCTCCCGGGGCTGCAGTGCAGAACGCGCTCGAACGCACAAACAACAGAGAACAAAAGCATTGCAGGGGTCATGAGACCTGATCATGCAATGATAGAAAATGGGGGTGGGAAGGGATCTAGGAGGTCACATCTAGTCCAACCCCTGCTCCAAGCAGGACCAGCCCCGACTAGATCATCCCAGCCAAGGCTTTGTCTAGCTGGGTCTTAAACACCTCCAGGGATGGAGACTGCACCACCTCCCTAGGTAACCTGTTCCAGTGTTTTACCACCCTTCTAGTGAGAGAGTTTTTCCTAATATTTAACCTCAACCTCCCTTGCTGCAACTTGAGCCCATTGCTCCTTGTCCTGTCATCTGCCCCCACTGAGAAGAGCCCAGCTCCATCCTCTTTACAGCCCCCCTGCAGGGAGTTTATCAAATCCCCCTCGGTCTTCTCTTCTGCAGACTAAATCAGCCCATTTCCCTCAGCCTCTCCTCACCAGGCCTGTCCCCCAGCCCCACAACAATTTCATTGCCCTCCGCTGGACTCTCTCCAGTGCATCCACATCCTTTCTGCAGCAGGGGGCACAGCTGGACACAGGACTCCAGATGTGGCCTCCCCGGTGCTGAATAGAGGGAAGAATCACTGCCCTCCGTCTGCTGGCAATGCTGTCACCAATGCAGCCCCGGATGCTGTTACCCTTCTTGGCACCAAGGGCACACTGCTGGCTCCTGTCCAGCTTCTTGTCCCCTGTCACCTCCAGGCCCTTTTCTGCACAGCTGCTGCTTAGCCTGCTATTAGCCAGGCCTCTGGGCTGGAGCCGGCTGCAGGGATCACTGGTTTCCTGGAAACCCGTGACAAGCTGAGAATATAGATGCTATGCCCTGCAACCTCCTATCAATGCAGCACAGACAGCCCTCCCCTCCCTGCCCCACTTACACTTTAACTCCTCTCATCAACAGCAGGAAGAGGGCATCCACCCACCAGTAAACATGGCTCCTCTGGCCTGGATACGTCACCACTGTCATTGCTGAAAACTCAGGACAATTCGGCCTCTGGAGAGACAAGACTATACAGCCTGTCTACAGCCAGGATCTCTTCTGCAAGCTTGGACGCAGAACTGAGGTACAGGTACACTTCCCTTAATCACAGCCCAGGTCAGAAACGAGACAAGAGGCAGGTCAACAGCCTGAACTTTTATTGTCACACCCCAACAGCACAAAAATAACCCCTTATTCCAGTACCTATATTGCTATGTCCAGCCAGCTGCCTTTCATTTGTGGAGCTTTCCAGGTTCCCCTTTGGCCCGTACCCTGCATTTGTAGGTGGCTTGTTCCAGTCTTCCCCGATTCAGTTTATTCCAGTTTATTTCACTGAAACTTTGGGAAGTGAACTGACCCAGGTCTCGGTGAGCTGGGATGTGTGTGTCCTGGGGCGTTACGTCCTGGAAGGGAGCCTTGCTCATCTCCTTCCCCCACCCTCGTGGACGGCTGCTCGCCACCAGCCTGGTTTCTTTCCACCTTGGTTCGTGGTCTTCACTGACAAGGCGGCTTTGTTTCCACAATTTATCTATGACAGCTTAACACAAACATCTCTTATAGCAAAAACTACGTCCAATCCATTGAGTTATATCACTGTTATGATGGGTCAACATTTTCCAGCTGAAGTACGGTACCTTTGGCTTATTGATTTTAAGGCCTTCAATGAGAGCGTCTTCTTCCAGGCCTTTTGCTTCTTCATTTTGATCTGGTTTAGCTGGCATGTGAATTGCTTTCTTTCCCTTGCTGATCGGGTGAATTAAACCTTGGCAAACATGACACTGAGGTCACTGAGAAACGGGCTTTTGTGGGCTCCTGCTTCAGCCGCACTTCTGTGGCTTGGCACAGACCCCTCGAGCAGAGTCAAAGCTGACCACAAATATTCGGCATTTCTGCCCTAGCATGTTGGGTGAATAGGAAGAGGTGTTTCATAGCCTTAACTCTCTTCTCATCACTAGTTGAAGCCTCAAGGTAACTGCAGCTGTTACCTTGAACCGCTATCAGTGCTGTCCACACAACAATTATCCGCGCAGGCCTGGCCCGTTATGGGTGGCCTTGGCTACCAGCCTTCAGTCTACTTTCCTCTGCTTATTGACACTGTACTGAGCACTTAATCTTTGCAAGTTGATGCATATACCCAGAACAGGGGCCGGTGCTAGCTCCACTGCCTGCGCCCTTCATTGCGGTGTTAAACCCCGTGACGTGTACAAGTGCCCCTTGTCTCCACCATCCCTACGGCCCAGCGTGCCGATAGCACGGTCACTGCAGTTAGCACTGTGCCCAAAAGCCTTCTGGCCTGGTCAGGAAGACGAGGCTTGGGTGTGTTGGCCAGTGCTAGGTCAAACCTTAATCGTCAAACTGACTTTCTGCTCAGGCACCTTCTTTTCTCTCCAGGGACAGCAGGACATTCAAGGGAAGGGCAGATCACCTCCATGCATCACGGATCAGTGCGATGGACTGCCACGTTTCATTCCCATGCCTGTTGGCTGTCAGTGCGTTGCACGCTGCATGCTCAGCACAGACCCTTGGTCCATCTTGCCATTGCTCGAGAGAGTAAAACTTCCCTCGAATGCTCCTGTTCTGCCGCCAGGGAGCCAGCGGCGCAGGGGGAGGAAGAAAGGTGCCTCAGCAGAAGCCAGCACGGGAACGCAGATCTCCCGGGCAGTCCCGGGCCAGCTGCTGGGCGCGCAGCCTGGTCTCGGAGACTTGGCTGTTTCACAGGCCGTGCCAGCAAGCCATAAAGAGTAGAAGGGTTTAAATTATTTGTCAGGTCCTGGCTGGCAGGGGCATCCTCCTCCCATACCTAACCCCACTGATTTCAGTTCAGGTTTGGTTTCTCCCTCCCAGAGACACCCTGCCCTGCAAAGCCCTGGCATGCTCACAGAGCAGGCAGATGCCCGGGGCCAGCTCAGTGCCGAGGGTTGGCTGAGGATCCTGACCCAGAAATCAGCTGCAGGATTTCCTTCCGGCCTTTCCTCCCCAGAGTGCCCCCTCATTTCTCAGCACCCCCTGGCACCGATCAGGAGAGAAAGGGTTACGCTGAGAGCAGGGATGCGGCACTCCCCCTTGACTTTGGGCCAGGCGCATGAGCCAAGGTGCGGTGGCGAAAGCACGGTTTAAACGTTAACTCTGGCAGCAGGCGGTGCCCGGGGCAGCGGTCCCCTCGCTGCACTCCAGGAACGTGGGGAGGGGAAAGTCCTCCACCAGCGCGAACCAGACAGGAGGCTGCAGGCCCGGGCCAATTCCCCTTCTCCTCCTTGCCCTTGGTCGCTACAGCCCCACTGAAGGCACCTCTCCCTGCCCGTCTCTCCCCACACAGGGCAGGGCTCATGAGACCGGGGCTCGGATCCTTAAAGGGAATTAGGCACCTTGGAGGTTTTTAGGACCTGACTACACAAAGCCTTGGCTGGGATGATGTAGTTGGGGCTGATCCTGCTTGGAGCAGGGGTTGCACTAGATGTGACCTCCCGAGGTCCCTTCCAGCCCTCAGTGTCTGCGATTCCATGACCTGGGCTGTGGTTAGCATACAAAGTGATCTGTCCCATCATGAGCTTTGTTACTGGATAGCTAATTAACATCAATTAACTACCGTGGCAATCCAGTACCAGTGCAGAGGCAGCCAGACTGGGATAGATGAAGGTCCCAGTCCCACACCAGTGTGGTTTGTTCCCTTTCCCGGAGGTGAAGAGTGATAGCAGCATGAAGCTCCCTTCAGCGATCAGCTGCATCCAGGTTAGGGGAGCATCCGGCTGCAGAGCAAAGGGCCAGGATAAGCCCTGGAGGAAACCCAGCTTGTAGCAAACGCAAGTCAGGGGCCAGGAGTGACACGGGCAGACTCCGAGTTACCAATGGGTGTTTATTTGGGGGGATGTATATACACATACATTCAGTCACATAGGTCACCTCCTGGAAAAAGGCCCCGTGAACATATATTACATTAGAAGATCTCTAAATTATTATTTTTTCTTTAAAAAAAAGAAACAAAAAACCTCAAGCAAAACCCCAGAACACTCTCTGCAGAGGGTACGTGACATGGCCCCAGTTCCTATGGACTTCCTTCTGCACACACAAAGGGTTAATAGGTAAAGCCACCCCCACCCCCAGCTTCCCCAGTCCTTTAGCCACCTCTCTCTGGCTGAGACCTGCAAAGCAATCCAGGGGATTTAGACACACTTGCCATTCCCAGTAATGGAAGGCAGTGTCTAAACCCCCACAACACGCTTGGAAAACCTCAGCCCCCACTTGCCTACCTCCCACCCTTCGGGGTGCCTGGATTTGCCCCCGTGTTTCATCCGTCCCTGTTTGTGAGCTCTCCTGACAACTCCAGCACCAGGTGTTTGGCAAGTCAGAGCATGCGGACGGACCGCATCTGATGCTGCTCACGGTTCCAGGTTACATCCACCAGGACATTATGGTCCAACTTCTCCCAACCTTTGCTTTTTTGGCACCAGTTTAGACCCCCGGCCACAACCAAAAAGCCAAAGCAGCGAGACTGGCTGAGGAAGAGCCTCTGCCTTCCACCCTGTGGCGTTTTAAGGCTGCGATGCAGTCAGAGGTGCGTGCCCTGGGCAGAGATCTATGAAGAGCAAAGAGCGAGAGGAAGAGCAGTTGCAGGCAGAGCGCCCAGCAAGTGGCGGCAGGCGCTGGAGGGTGGGCAGGGAGCCGCGTGCGCGCGTGGGAGCTGCCTGCCGCAGACACCCCCGTGGGGGTGAAGCGGCGCGTAATTCTGCGATTGTATTAGCGAGGAGCAAACATGCACGGGAGCTAGTTAGTGTTCCAGTCTCACCAGTTACAGCCTAACGTGTTCTAAAATGAACAACTAGTCAGTCCAGGCACTTGGGCCCACGGCCCAAGGGTGCATCTGCCCGTCCTGAGCAACCCGCTGCTCAGACCCACCCCCTCCCGCCCCGTCCACCCGTGTTAATAGTAGGTTATTATTCCAGTAAGAGTAACTTGGCTGGGTGATGGAGGATAGCACAGACCCGGCCACGAGACCCCGTGAGGAAAGATCTCCCTGCAGCTGCCACGGGTCGTGGGCGGTGTAGACGAAGCACCCCAGCGTCGGGGCGCGGTGCCGGCAGATCCCTGCGATGCAGCGGAGAAGCGAGGTACCGTGGTGCAGTCCGAAGGCTTCGGTTGGACAGCGAGTGCAAGCTCCCATGCTGCGATCGCAGAGGCCGAGTACCGGACTGCGCCGACGGACAGCGACGTGCCGAGTGCCCCGCAGCCGTGCTCAGAAGAATGTAAACTCGGTTGCTCTGGGAGGCGTGCCTGCCCAGCTCTCTGGCTTTCCTCTGCGGTGCACGTGTTGAGAGCAGGAGCCAGAAATGCCATCCGGCCGCCTCTGAAGCAGCTGCCTCGAGCCTGCAGGTCCCTGGGCACCGGGTGTCCCGGGGAGGCTGCTGGCTGCAGAGGCTCAGGGGTCTGGGCGCGTGGAGTCCGGTGGGGGCAGCCCAGCCCGCTGCTCCCAGGTGACAGAGCGGCCGGCAGGTTGCATGTGCTTGCGACAGCCTGGGGTGCTCTCTCCCCCGCGGCAGCGTCCTCCCTCCTGCGTGTCCCGCCACGCCGGGTTAACACCAGGGGTCCCGCGAGGCCCGCCCGCGGCACAGGCTGTCGCTGCGCTGCCAGGCGCTGTGGATCAGGCTCAGGGCGTCCTCACATTTCTTCTTGACAGAGGCCTCCTGGATGGCCTTGTGCAGCAAATCGATCTGGAGCAAAGGGGGGGAAGGTCACAGGGCTGCTCGTGACACTGTGCTTGGAGCCATCCCAGGTTAAAGGGGCCCCGGGACACTTGGGGGCCAGAAAGCTGAGCTGGGGAACGCGCACAGCACTGCAGACTCTGTCCGAGTCGCTGGCACTAGTGGCCCTGGGAGGGGATAGGGGTGTGCTGGCCACCACTGCCCCTTCTTCTGCTCCTCCTTCCTTGAGACTGGCCATCGGGACTGGTTTCAGGGACAAACAACTGGGGATGCCGCCGTGTTAGCTAACTCAGTCCGACTTCCCAGTGCATGGGGGGAGCAGAAGCCTAGCAGAAACTCTGCTTGCAGCCCTCTCTTCTCTTCCACACCACAGGGACCCCAACCTGGCCACCCCTGCCGTTCTGCTCTACTGACACGCACGTGCCGAGAGGCTGGCCTACAGCTGCCTCTAGAAAGCCAGACAGGCTGCCCTCCCACTGCTCCCTCCTTCAGTTCAGCCCCACTGTGTGGTGGGGGAAGCAGGAGCACACAGCTCACCCACAAGCTGCAAACTAATGCGGCCAGCACTGCCTCGCCTCCGCTCACCTGGTAGATGCTTTTCCAAACGGTGCTCAGTGCCGAGAGGAACCTCTCCAGCTCTGTAGTGCAACTGAAGTACAGGACCCAGGGGGGCAGGAACTGCTCGCGGTCCTTAGCAAACTCCTAAACGCCAATGGAAAGGTGGTGGTTATTCAGGGAGCCAGCCCCCCCAGCATCCGTCAGGCCCTGCGCTGCTGCACGGACATGCCCCACACTCACTATAATACAGTACTCCTTGCCCGCCTCCGTGGAGATGGCAGCGACGTCCGTCAGCTCCACGGTGCCGAGCGAGCGGAAGAAGCTCGTCTGGCAGTCTTCGTGGCAGGTGAAGACCTTCTCATCCGCTATCACGAGGCAGCAAGGGATGCAGGGCGCGGGCACCACCCCCTGCGGGATAACCTGACGGGGGAGAGGGCAACCCTTAGCAGCACCACTCTACGAGCTTCCCCCTCGACTTCTATGTGAGGCTTCCCACGGACATCCGGGGGCTTCTCCACATGCTGCTCTGTGCGGCAGTTGAGATGGGTCAAAAACCAAAAACAGCTCCTAGGGCCAGACCCAGGGCTGGAGGGAGGCAGAGCTTCTCCACTGGCATCAGGGAGCTCCTGCTGATCCGCTCCAGCGGAGGGTCTTAGCCTGGCCTCAGGACCCAGCTGCTAGTCCCCCCCCTGCAGCTCCACCCTGGCCGGGCTGGAGGTGTTGCCTCCTCGTTTCACCTGAACAGACCTCAATAGCTGCTGTCCAAGCATCCCTTTTGTTCAGTCATGGAGACCCTAGAAGGCCTGTCGCATTCAGAGCCAAGGATGAGGGGACTCTGCGCGGGTCTAAACAGTGAGGTGTGCTTCCAAGCTTTGCCTTGCTGCAAAGTCTTGGCCCAAGATATGCCACAACTTAAGGGCACCATGCCCACCCCGGAGTGTAGTCTCCTTCCTGGCATGGACCCCCATTGCCCTGGCTGCTGGGCTGTCTGTCAGCACTGAGTGTCCACGACAAAGCAGCACATACAGGACATCCTTCAAAATGCAAGGAGGCCCACGGTGAAGGGCTCCACCTCTCAGGGTGTGGGCACAGCACACTTCTAAGAGGCTACAAACCACCAGCCACAGCCACTCCCCAAGCCTGCTGCCCAGGACCAAAACAACCCTGCACCAAGGACTGCCAAGGACACCACTACCCCACACCAGAGACCCCAGAGTCCTGAATGATGGGGGTCCCAGGAAACCTGTAGCCAGTGGGCTGGACAGGGGTGTGGAGAGCTGGGATGTGGAGCTGCAGGAAGCATGGGCGTAAGACAGACAGAAAAGAGGGCAATGCTGGATGCCAGCTCCTCCACGGAGTACCAGCCAACAGGGGCTGCCGGCTGGCAGGTTTGCACCAGCCTGGGGAGAGCTGACCCTAGCCAGGCACGATGGAAAGTGCCCCCACTCTGCAGCGGGGGGCCTGGAGTGTGCCAGGGCAGCAGCTCACCCCTTTGGAGACAGCCTGGCAGAAGTACTGCATCCAGTCTGCCATCTCCTCCTCGTTCTCGGCACTCAGCTCCAGGGACGGGCGGTCGGTCAGGATCACCTGGAAGGAGTGGGGTCGCTCCGTGGTGTTCGACCGTCGGCACCCACCACACTGCTCCCCCCTGGCGGGCAACAGAGCAGAGGGGTGGGCTCGAATCGCTGGAGTTCAGAAACCTAGTTACTGTCGGGCCGGGGTCTGTCCCCACGTGCCGGGGAGCAGAGACGAGGCGAGATGCATCACACAGCCCCGCTCAAGGCTGTGGGGGCAGAGGGGGGGCGCGGTTGCACTGCAGGGTCCAAGCTCGGGGATGTTCTCCCTGTGAGAGCGCCGGGAGCCCAACTCCACGGCAAGACCCCTGCTGGGAATGGCCTGTGGCTGGCAGGTGGCTTGGGCATGGGGCAGTCTGCTGCACCCGGTTGTGCACCACAGTCTCATGCGTGTGAAACTGCCCATTGACAAACCCATCGCAATCGCATGCTTTGTAGTCAGCAGGACCCGGTGCTCCTGCCAGGACTGGCCCAAAAGCCCCGAGTAAAAGCTGGGATAACAGCCCCAGATCCCTACTAGCCAGCCAGCGGGGTAGCTCCCACCCCCACCCGCTGAGAGCAGGCAGCCGATAGACCAGGCCTCATTTGTCACTCGGAGGATCTCAGCGCTCTGAGAAGTGAGCGTCTCAAGCCAGACGCCCACTAATTCACAGGGCCCCATGTGTGTACAGGGGCCAGCAGCTTCACCCAAGAGTCCATGTTTTACAGGTGGGGAAACAGACTGACACGGTAAGTGCCTTGCTCAAGGTCACCCAGGGGGCCAGTGGCGGAGTCAGATACAGCACCGAGTGCCATCGTCCAGTCTCTTGCCTGAATTATTTGATTTTGAGATGGAAATAAAACTGCTGCAGTGCTGCAATTGTGACCAGCTGTCTGCTTTGGAGACGAGGCCGATCTCTGCCCCTCTGGCATTGCTGCTAATATCCTGACTGCTGCTAGGCACGGATTACCCTCAGCGGACGCACACTTTGAGTGATCTCAGAGCAGGCTCCCCAGATCAGCTAAAACATAGGGTAAAACCACCTGTAGACGAGACACTAAGCCTACTCCGCGGGTGAGCACTGTGGAGACTGAGTGACGCTATCGACTGTCCAGAGCAGGTATGTCAGGGGTGAGATGAACAGGGTCACTGTTCTGCACTGCAGCTAATGCCCACTTACCCCATGGTCACAGAGAGCAGAGGCGTAACTTCGGTGCGGTCTGGGTACTGGTACAAGATGCCATTGCTGCTGATTGGAAAGACAAGACATGGGCTACGTAAATCAATCTGTGCAACCTGAACAGCAGCATAATCTCCCCCTTGCCTTGGCCAGCAGCTGATTTGATCCTATGACCCCAGCTGACTTCCTGCCCTTTGCGCGGGGGGCTGGACTCAATGATCTTCCGAGGTCCCTTCCAGCCCTGATGTCTATGAAATCTATGAATATAGCTCCTGCGCCCCTCAAAGCAGTGGATCTCTGTTGCTAGCGTGGAACAAGCCACAGCACAGACAGATGTAAGGTTTATAGTTCCATAAGCGACTTCAAAGTACGTGCCAGAGCAAGGTTTAATCTGGCTAGCTCAGATACCAATGGCAGTCAACACGCACCAGCTTGCACTGCAGTTTGAGCTACAAGCCCAGGCACCTACTCAGGGTTCTGGGTGAGCTGAAGCCTTTGGCACCATATTTTTTCTGCTACCAGTACCCAAGCTAGCTGGCGTGGGTATGCCAACACTGCAATCCCACCTCTGGCTGCAATGAGGTGCCTAACAGAGGACTGGACTCGAGGCCCAGGTCCAGCTTCCTCTGTGAGGACACCCTGCTTTACTTGTGAAGAAAACAGTAGGCTCCAACTAACATCCCATCCAGGCTCTTTGACCCTCAGAGAGCCTGGGAACAGTATCTTGGCTGACAAGACCTGCCTTGGATAACAGCTAGCCGTGCACCTTATGGAAGCCATCGCACTAGGGTGGCAGCTTGCTGATCTCAGCAAGGGTTCAAGATGCTCAAGGAGTTTCTGGTCTCCTCCTACCTAACTTTGCTGAGGTGTCTACATCCCCCCTGACCTAATGCCTTCTCTGCCACCCTCACATCTCAGATGCAAGTTAGAGCGCCTATGGAAATGCAGTCCCACGTCCTACCTGAGCACCACAAAGCAGGTCTTCCACTGCTCCTTGCCCAGGTACGAGGTCCCGGCTTTGTAATGCAGGATGCCCTCCTTTGTGACCGAGTTCTCAGCAGAAGTGTAATTGCTAGGAGCTGGTCCCAGAGCTTCGTCCATGGGGTCCTCCCAGTGTACAAGGCCATAGAAGCGCACGACCACTTCAGAAGCCTTTGACAGACAGACAGACAGACCACAACGTTACCAGCCTTTCAGGCCTAACAGCTGGGTACGGGGAGCCAGCACTGCAGAAAATGCAACCTCAAGGGCCTTCATAAAGGAAGCCTGTGCAGCAAGCTGAGTCCTCCTGATAGGGACTGCATGGCACAGACATCACTGCACCTCCCTGTATAGGGCACCTGCCAGCTTAGGCATCGCCAAGCACCTACTGGCAATTAAACCTCAGACCTGGCTTCTAAGGTGAGTGTGAGAAACAGAAGATGTGCTTCATCCACTACGAACCCAGCCATCGCCTCTGGGTGAGCAGCATGGCGCAGTGGGTGAGGAAGACTGACAATTCAGCAGGGAAGATAAGCCTGCCCACATGCACGGGGTAATCGGTGTGGGCAGAGGACACTGTAGACCAGCGACCCACTGGGAGCCCCTCCCAAGAGCCCGTGCACTGTTACGTAGGGACCCAAACGGGAACATCCAGTGAAGATTAGATTTAAAAAGTGCTTGTCACTCCCACCTCACCTCGCACTTGGACTCTTGGGCCACAAACTTAGCCAGCGCCAGCTTCTCCATTGTGGCATCAGTGAGGATGCTGGGATACGGTGGCTCCCGGCAGCCTTTGATCATGGCTGACTTCAAAGAGACCAAGAAGAATCTGGGGAGGACAGAGAGCTCTGGTGAGATCCCGTCTTGGTACCAGACCCTTAAGAAGTGCAATACCCAAGAGATCCAAGCGCCAGCCTGGGTCCTGGCTCCAGCGTGGAGTTGATCCTGGCACGGGGTCCACAGGAGCAGACCCCTTTCAACCGCATGACAACAAAGGGGTTTCATACACCCACAATGTCTCTCCCCCCCGGGTCAACTTGCACAATCAGTGCCCAAACGAGCCAAAGGGTCTTGATATCAAGTCTGAGGGGGATGGAAGCTGCATCAGGAGCCTGAAGGAGCCTGCCTGAGAAAGCTGCACTCAGGGACCTGAACTTACACAATCCTGCT